TTTTGGGCATTTTTTAAAATTATAAATCATAACATTTACAATCTCTAATAACTAGTAATCTGAAAAAAAAAAATGTATTATTTGTCTACAATATGTCATGTGATCATGCATATATATATTTTTTAAGGTATTGTCTTCCATTTTCATAAAAATATATATTTTATTATTCTTATTTCATGTTGTTACATTTTTTTTTTTTAACTTCAACTACGGGCGGATCAGGTTCATGCGGGTGTAAGATGGTTGATCCGCCATCCGAATTGTATCTGTGAATTTTGAAATATTTCATTCGCATCCTTCTGCAAAAAGACATGCATTTGCCAAAAAATAATTGGGTTGAGTCGGTTCAGTCGAGTTGGGTGAATTGGACAGATCTATGATCACCCCTAGTAACACATCATAATAACTGTAAACTTTTTATTCTAGCCAAATTATTTTTTCATATCTTTCTTATGGAACTCATGAAAGTGCATTATTAGTAATACTATAAATTCAAAATTTTTATTTAAAAAAATATTCAAGAAACATCAATAGGTGACTTAAATATATATATAATCATTTTTGATGAATCATTATTCTTAAAATAATATTCCACACTATTTATTATTTAGCATTTGTCAATTTATTTTCTAAAAACTTAACAGAAAAAGTATTAAGTTCCATTATTGTAATCAATCAATATTAAATTGGACGCTACATATGCATGCAAATCACTTCTAAAAATATGATGTGACAAAATCACATTGGAATTAACTTTAATTAATATAATGATATTTTATATTATGATATGCGTTACAAAAGAATAATATTAATTTTAATTTAAAATAAAATTTTAGTTTTAATAATCTTAGCATTATCGTTTTATAAATGTGTTACTTGAATACTTATATATAATAAATTTAGTTAAATTGTTTGTTTATTTTGATAATCTTAGTTCTATTATGATATAAAAGTGTAATTATTATATAATGATTTTATATGATATATATTAAATTATAAGATAATAAAATAAATACTCATTTTGATATTAAAAATAACAGCTAAAGTAGAAAGAGAATTACTAGTATAAAACTAAAAGTGATTTTATTATATTTTATTTTTATATTTATTTGGAAAATAAAAATATGTAGAAATAGAATTACACAAAATTTATTTAAAAGTCTAAATATAAATATGTTGTGATTGGATTAAGAAGAAAATACATAAATTAATTATGTAGATTATTAATTTTTTCTGTAATATTTTTTTTTGAATTATTCATACATATTGTATATAAGTATATAAAATCTAAATTAAATATAAATGTTTGTAATAAATAATTTGATGTTAAATAAAAAAGCAAATATAAATTAATATTAAGACAATATTTGGTCTTATTTCTTTATTTATTTGTATATTGAGATTTTTTTTTGAAATATCATAATAATTAAATTATAATTATATATGAAAAATAAGTGTTTCTCAAATAGAATCCATATAAAATTGGTTATTATTATTGAAATTGAGTTTGTGTAGAATTTTTTTCAAATGATATTTGAATTTTTTTTTTATCTCGATATACAAATAAATAAATATTTAAATAAAACAGAATGTGCTTAATTATTTGCATTAGAAGAAACAAATTAATTTTTTTTATATATTTATATTTTTTGTCAATTTTATTGATATCTTAATATTAATTTATATTTAATTTTTTATTTAAAATGAAATTATTTATTACAAAAAAATTATTTTATATACCTATATACAATATGTATGAATAATTCAAAAAGAATATTAAAGAAAAAATCAATACTCTACATAATTAATTTATGTATTCTCTTCTTATTCCAATTATGACATATTTATATAGGGTAAATTACACCTACCTCCTTTGAAGTTTCTGACAATTATAGAGACCTCCCATACGTTTGCTGACATTATCCAAGATTCTCCCAATTCGTGACTGCTGTTACAAAATCTAACAGAAAATGTTGATGTCACCTATTATAAATTATGAAATGCCAAAAATACCCTCATTGCCTTCTAACTCATCCATCTTCTACAGCTTTACAGCTTACTAGTTTAACCCGTGTCATCACCATTACCAACCCATTCACCATTGCAGCACCTCCCACAAAACCAAATATATATATACATATATATGTAAGATATTTATGTATACATATGTTTATACTAGAGGCCGGGCACACATGATGTGCATGCACCTCGAAAGAAGTCATCAAAATAATATTGCATGAAAGATATAAGGAAAAAAAAAGAATTAAAGAGCAACATTAATAATAACTTCAATCAAGGTGAAAATATGTACAAATATTTTAAAAAATAGTTCAATATTTACAAAATATATACACATTAAAAAAATGATACGTGATGAATCCATAGAAAATCTAACTTTGGTGGTATGAAACTGAGAATGTAATTGCAAATCGTACAAGAAAATATATAAGATACAGAGCAAATTAGTATTATTTAATTTATTGTGCATAGATTAAAATCATAATTTATGTCATTCAAATGAGAAAAAATTATAAAGAAATTAACCTTAATTTTTTGTTACTATAATTGACTTGTTGTGTTATGTATGAAGACAATGAATGTAAAAAGTTTTGAACTTTTTTTTTTTAATGAAAATTAAAAATTAAAAACTTACATTTTGACATAGTCACGTGGTCCAAAATTAGATATCCAGTTCGATAATCTATTCAAATTGTTTTGATGCATTTTTTGACATAGATATGTGAAAATATTAAACTACATATATAAGTTAAAGTTGACAAAAATTGAAATATGTAAATATTTTTTTGGTACATGAAATTGCAAGTAGGTTACTTTATAACAGCCTTATACATGACTTCGTAAGTTTTCAACATTTGTATCATTCGCTGCCTATAAAACTGTGCAAAAATATTTATCTTTACTGTTATATTATTTAGCAAAGATCAAAATTAATTTACACATAACTACATATATAAGTTGAAGTTGACAAAAATTGAAATATGTAAATATTTTTTTGGTACGTGAAATTGCAAGTAGGTTACTTTATAACAGCCTTATACATGACTTCGTAAGTTTTCAACATTTGTATCATTCGCTGCCTATAAAACTGTGCAAAAATATTTATCTTTACTGTTATATTATTTAGCAAAGATCAAAATTAATTTACACATATGAATACATGAATCATAGTGTAGACACCCCATTTTTGACGACCCTTCAAGACTTGGATATTCTTGCAGGTACATCCGATGATGAGTCTGTTTACTCTCCATGCGCTCGAAGTCCTCAGTGGAACGCCACAGCTTTGAGCCTTTCAAACCCTGCATCCATTTTGTCTCATTTTTGGACCATGCCTTGGTCTTTCTAGCCTGCAATCTTTGGTGGCCTGCCGGCCATCTATGGAGGCTGCCGGCCAGTACTTCTTGTTTGCTGGCTATCGATGTGCCTTGTCGGCCATCAATGATGCCTTGCCGGCCATCATTGATGGCCGGCCGGCCACCAGTGTTGTCTGCAGATATTTTATGCCAGCTGTGCTAGCTGTTTGCACAGATGCTTGCATCTGTCCACACGTTGAGGGCTGGATCTCTTTGTATAGATTTCATGTTTTCTATATATAGGAACCCCTTCTCTTATGTTTTGAGGTTAGAAGATTTTAAACTCAAAAATTCTCTCTCTCTAGATTTCTCTCTCTCTTGCAATTTTGTGCACACTTGCCTAGTTATATCACTCTTTTGCATATACATCCTTAACCAAAATTGATCACCTTTGAGCTGAGGTCTCTTGAGGTCTTATGGAGCTCTTGAAGGTGGTTTTGGCTTGCATTTGTGCCTAAAGTTGTGCTTGGCTTCAAGAGGTATAACACTTGTCTTTTAACTTATTTTAGTACATTTGTTTCTCCATCTTTTCCTACTGTTTTTAGGCCATTTTTGAGTTGCAAAAATCTCTGTTTTAATGGTCTGAAATTGGTGCTTTAAGCCGTTTAAGGTTAGGGGGGTGTCTCACCCTTCTTTATTCCTTGTTTCTAAGGCTTTTGCACCTTTGTTTTCCATTTTCAAATAATCTTTTTTGAGGCTTTTAACCAGTGAATTTCAGAGTATTTTTAGTAGCAAAAAACATGTTTTGAAGTCCAAAACTAGAGGGGTTAGTCTCCCCTCATTGTGTCTTGTTTGCTAGCCTAGTTAACTCCATGTGTTAGCATGTTTTTCTAGTTTTTTGTAGCTATATTCCAGCATGTTTTTGCCTTTGTTTTAGACTGCTTTAGCTCTATTTTGGGTTGTTTGGGTCAATTGAATCTTGTTTTGCATGGTTGTAGTGTAAAGGTCCTCATAAGGATGGTGTTTTAGGCCATTAGACACCCCTTATTTGAGTTGATTGTATGTTTTGGTATTTTTTTGCACTTCATTTCAGCACCTAAAGCTCTGTAATCTCCCTCATTTTTTGACCTTTTTTTATTTGCTTTGAGGGTTGTTTCAAACTTGGGATTCTTTAAACTTGAGATTGAAGTCCATGCCTAATGGTTCAATCCTCTTTTGAGGGTTCATTACCAACGGCATGAAGCTTCTCTCATGCCTTAAACCACCCCTTGGTTGACACTTCATTCTCTTTAGAAAACTCTCACCAATGGACTTAATTGACTAAGTAATGCTTCGTAAGTAAAATGTGTAATTGAAACTTACAACTAAAAGTGAGCCAAGATAAGCATTTGGTTGTGTTTTTGATGTATTCAATCGGACGTTAATTGAACACATGGAACTTGGACTATTTCATACTTATTAGTGATGAAATGATCAAAGTCTCCAAGGTCAACCTCTTCCCTTGATCCTTCATGAAAGGGAGGAGGTTTGTGTCTCATTTTGCATTTATTGAATTTGCACCTCTTGAATTACAAGCCATCATGCAATGAAATTGCTAGGATTGGTGGTTTGTGGCTTGAGTTCACAACTCCTTGGATTTGTTTATGAAAATGAGGGGTGAATTATGCAAACAATCCTTAGAAATACCCCATTTTTGCTCTGTTTGTCCTCTGTTTCAGCATGGTGATCTAGTGCATCAGTGGCAGGCAGGCCACCATTCATGGCCGGCAGTGCACCATAGATGGCTGACAGGCCACTCCCATGGCCGGCAGTCTCTCTAAGTGGTTGGCTGGCCACTGATGTAAACCTCAGCAAAGAATTGGTAAGATGGAGCAAATTGGTTCTGGAAATGGTCAACTTTGCTAACAGAGGCTTTCGGGAGCAAAACAAAGATCTTTTCGGGCAGAAATCGAGCACGTGCATCTTCCATTTCCCGAGGCGGAGTAGTGGCAGCATAGTTAGAGATTTTAATTACTTAGCTTGTTTACATTTGTGTTGTAAGTTAATTTGATTAGCTTAGTAGTTAGTTTAATTAAAAATGTTGTAATAATTAGTTAATTAGTTTAGCTATTTATTTCATTTGGTTTGTATTAATTAGCTTAATTAGCTTAGCTTAGATTAGCTTAGCTTAGTTATTTATTCGGACTCTCCTTCGTGAGAGTGTAATGTAATAATGTGTATGTTCTCCAACCCCACGCCTTTCTCCCTTTTACTTAATCGCTTTTGATGGTTAGATTAGGGACATGTTTCAATTAGCATACCTTATGCTTACATCCATTCATTTGTATTGCATGCACCGAGGCTTAGCGCATCATTCAAACTGCATTGTCATTTTAATACCTTCTTTGAATACGTGTTTAACCGCATGTTATCAAATCGAATCATATGCCATATTAGTAGCCGAGCCTATTAATTGCATTCTTTGTATGTGTTGCATTAGACACTTTGTATAGTTAGGAATCATGCATATTTTTCTAACTCATATCTTTTTAGCTTGGAGTACTAGGTGAGTTTTAATACTTTAGCATACTTGTATAAGGCCAAGTTTGGGGAGTCTCAAAAAAGCCAAAAAGCCAAAAAGTTACTCAAAAAGTTAAAAAGTTATCACTATTCACCAAAAGTCAACAATTACGGCTGCACAACTCCCAATTCAAATTTTCCTCTACAAACCAATTTTTACTACATTTTAATACATATTTTTCCATAAAAAGTCAAAAAGTTAATCCAAACATTCATATTTTCAACCTCAACTTTTTAGTCTAAAAAGACAAAAAGTGCACTTATTTAGGACACCCCAAATAACTCCTAAGTGTGAATGATTGCCATGATTAGCATGCTTTCCATGAGGCTAAATGCTTAAGTGATGAACTGTTTGAATGCCTGTGGATGAAGGCTTGTTGCTTGAATTGGAACGATTCAACAAATGCATGTTTAAAGCCCACTATGCCTAGTGGCAAAATCACTGCTTTAAGCCCACTTTGTTCAGTGGCAAATTTGCAAACTTTAAGCCCACTTAAAGTGGCAAATTCAAGCCCCTTTTCGCAAAACAAACATAAAATTGAACTGTTCCAATTTCAGCAAACTAGTCTATATTTGCTTGCATGCATCACATCGTAAAGCTAGCTTAATAACCGGAATAAGAACACATAATGTTGATAAAAATCATATCATGATTAGTAGAGGCTGATCTTTGATCGGGCGAGTGGGGGTGCTTAATTCATGACCTTTCAGTCTCGTACCTAAGTTCCCGAGCCGAGACAATCTTAGTGATGACGGACACGTAGCCTTTGACACGAGTCATGGGTTTTCTAAATTTTTCCAAAATAAAATATTTAGGTGGAGACTCTGTATCTGGAAAATCAGTCAATTTTTGGCATTTTGATTCAAAATCGATTTTCCAAAAGATTTGCCGGATTTGGACTGTTTGGTGTTTATCAATTTCGCATTGCACTTGTGAGATTAGATTTAGAACCGTAAGAGTCCGAACTGTAGGGTTTTCTTTCAAACCTTCCAAAAGGGGGGCGCGAAAAAAGTCGAGCTACAGTTTCTGGTGACTCAGTTGGAGACTTAAAGAACTTGACTCGAGCTCATAATCTGACATTTTATCTACACTTATGTGTTTCTTTGCATTTGCATTTGCATTGGTGAGCCTAAGTCACTGTGTTTGCCATCTGCTATTCCTGAACGGTTTGTCAGAGGCTTGCTTGGAAAAGCTTGCCAAAAGGCTGACCGGTTGCGAGTTCTGCCATGATGGGAACACAACCCTTGGATCTAGACTGCCGCTGTACTGTTTGATCCTTCTTTCACTTTTCCGTGTTAGGTGTGAGAGGTATATTAGGTAGTCTTGCTGAGGTACCCTTTTTAACCAATCGGCCTAGTTGAATATCGAAAGCTATAGAGACTGTTCCAAACTAGGACAGGTTGCTTGCCCAAATTCAGGATTGTGTGAAACACTTTGCTTGAATAGTGAACCTTAGCTCCTAACGAAGCTAGGACAGGGTAACCCTACCCCATCGTAGGGGTGTTTTGGCTCTCACTTAACTGGTATGTGCTTTTAGAGTGAAACTCTACAGGAATGTATGTATCAGTTGTAAGCTTGAGCATCAGTTTTGGGGGCAGAAATTAGTGTTGAATGCATTTTTACAGCTTATGATTACAACTGTGTCTTGTCCACATCTGAGTTGAGGTGTTGTGTGGTTTCTGATTTTTGCTTTCTTTTACTTTATTTCTTTTTGCAAGGTAGTTAATCACGATTGCTTTGGACAGTTCTGTTACCCCCCAAGCACTCTGGACCTGTGTAAGAAGACTTTACAAATTCGGGGATCTTGTTAGGGGACAGCCAGTGTTTGTTTCACTCCCACTGGTTACCAGACGAAGGAGGGTTAGGTATACTCCGCCAGTCCAGCAGTCACCTTTTACTTCGCCTGCGACCAGCCAGGCTAAGTCTTTTACTTCTACTCTAGTGAGAGAGTATTTGCTAGTTTTGATGGCTCAACATCCCCCGGTTAGCATGGAAGACATGCTTCGTCATCTCCAGCAGACTATTAAAACTATGTAGCTAGACGCTGCCCGCCAAGCTGAGGTCGCTGCCCGCAAAGCTGAAGTGATAAATAGGCTTCAGCAACAGCAACCACAACCGGTAGTAGCTTTTGCATCCCATGTACCTTCTACAGGTATTCTAGCACCCGGAGTCACTGTCAATGTTCAAGAGAATCTGGGCATTCCCGTAGATCCGACCCCGCCTCAAACCTCCAAGGCACCAGTGTACCAAACTGAGGCACCATTTGAATTCGATGTTAACTCGACTGCACTAAAGGTCAACAAGCTAGAAAAGCTCTTCAAGAGGGCACAGGGCATGAACTCGATCCTAGACATCGAGGATGGATACACAGACTCTGTGGTAACTCTGTCGGATAGATTCAAGATGTCACACATAGATCGGTTCGATGGCTCCGGGGATCCTATGGTCCATTTGCAGTTATTCTTAGATATTCTGCGGCCAATGAGCCTTACTAGACTTCAAAAGCTGTTGCTTTTTGGGCGGACCCTATCAGGTATAGCGGCTATCTGGTATGCAAAACTTGAGGACTCTGTGAAAAGAAGTTGAGAGGAAATGGCTGAGGCCTTCATTGCTCAGTACTCCTACAATACCCAGATCGAGGTCACAACCCATGACCTTGAAGCGACCTGTCAGGAGCCAAAAGAAGGCTTCTCGAATTTTGTAACGAGATGGAGGGCCAAAGACTCTATGATGACTATCAGGCCGTCTAAAAAGGACCAAATCAGAATGATGGTCCACAACCTGCAAGGGAGATTATTACAGAAGATGATAGTCTTGCTTTTGTTTACATTCGCTGAGCTCTATGAAATAGGGTTTCAGATTGAGGATGCGATGAAACAGGGGCTGATAGCTGATAAGAAGGAACAACCCAGGAGGCTTTTTATACGTAGTTCCAATGCAACCACGGGTAGTAACACCTCTACACGGCCTTCGAATGTGAGTATGGTCACTACTACATCCAAAACTGCTAACCTTTTCGCCAATACATCCAACATAAATCCATAAACCTCAACCAGCCAGGCTCGATCTCAAAGGGTCTTTACCTCGCTCTACATGCCTTTATCCAAAGCCCTAGGGGTCTTGATAAAAAAAGGGACATCTTAAGCCGTTAGAACAACGCCCATTACCCGATCCTCTCCCGTCGAAATACAACCCGACCAAATACTGTGTTTTTCATCAGTAGCACAGTCATGACACTGATCAATGTTATAGACTGTGTCATAAGATTCAAGATCTTATTGACAATAAGGTGATAACACCTCCTCAGAAACCCAATGTCACCACAAATCCTCTCCTACCACATAATCAAGTCCCTCTACCCTGACATATAAACCTAATACATACGCTAGCCATTCTATATGACCCCAGCGTATACATTACCCCTTCCCACCTACCTAAACCAGCGTTGTTCATCCCTAAGAGCACGGACTTGTGCATGATGAACGCGTTAACACTCCAAACTGAACCCGTGGTAGTAATGAAGGGAGTGGATGTTCAATTGTACAGATCAGAGTACATGTCAGCCTAGCTCAACAAAATATCGAGTTCCATGTTCTGGATGTTCCAGCCACTTTCAACTTACTACTTGGGTGAGCCAAGTTGCACCAAGTGAAAGCTGTCTCGTCTACCCTCTACCAAATGCTGAAATACCCCCTATGGGAATGAGGTGGCTATTGTGTTCGGGAATTCATCTATTTGTCCTCCATCAGAGGTCATTACACCTGTGCTGGAGATTGTGCTTGGCGAAGAGGATGTTTTCCTTTCGGGATTTACCTTGGCTGAGGCTCGGGTAGTGCAGAATGTCTTGGCTATTGATGAGGGCTTGTATGTCAGTGCCCAATCGATCTACTTCATGAACAAGCTCCAACACATGCCAGGAACGGGGCTAAAAAAAAGTGGCCAGAAGGGCGTTACTGCATTGGCCAATGTGCCACACAACCTGCATGCCTTTGGTCTTGGTTATACGCCCACCAAATAGGACTGGGTTAGGAAAGGGAAAGGCCGGCAGAGCCAGAGCTAAACAAACTGGGAAGTGCTATGAACTTGTGCACAGACCAATCTAGGGGGCCCTGAATGGCTATTTTGTTCAGGAGGGTGAAGACGTCCCATTCTGTGGTTTCCCTGAACCCTGGTTCAACTCTGAGAAGCAACGGGTTCCTGG